GCGCACTCAGTATTTTTGACCATTTAATAAATTTTGTTGTAAGTTACATTCGTTTAATAATCACCCGTCAACTTTTTTTTCCCTAAAGCGATCTAAAAAAAATTATTGCCATTTTTAAAAATATCCCTAGACTTTTCCGATATATATCGCCAGATTTGTATGAGTAAATATATTACTCATACAATATTACAAATTACAGAGCAATCTGCATCCAGAGTAGCAATCCCAAAGTTCTAGATTTTCTGACACTAATCTCAGATCGATTATTTGATAATCAACAATTTGGATTTCGTTCAGGTGAGTCAACTGAACTCAATCTGCCTCCGTGGTGATTTTGACAGTTTTCTTGTAAATACAAGATCTATTAACTGAAACCACAGAAATGTGCGGCTGGCTCCTGCTGAAACTACAGAAACTCCAACACAAAGGATATTACTTGATGTAACCCAAATACACTTAAATTTAAAGAGACATCAGGATGACCGGAAAGGAAAAATAACTAAGGCGTTCTAACCGTGTGAAGGAACAAACAAGAAGATAAAACGTTCAGTTTGAGTAGAGCCTTGAAGATGATTACTTAGTGATTGAAACACGTGTTGAGGTGTTTAAAATAACAGTAAAGGTTCCAAACAGTGCATCACATAGTCCTTACCTTATAGCTATGTGCCTCGTCGTTTGAAGACTTAAAAGTTGCCTATCAAGTTCAGTTCTGTTATTCCTTTTTATCGATATATTAGAGCCTTCTGATATCATCACCAAGTCGATTCCGAAATGGAATCCCGTCCACCTCCAGCATTGTTTTTCTTTCACAGGCAGAACCATACCACACCTCATACTACTTGCTAGGAACATTTCCCTCGGAAATTCGTTAGGACTGAAATAAAAGATGTCACTGCACAAAACAACTTTGATAAACACAAAGCAGTATATTTGCTATTGAAAAGACTGTATCAGAAATTCGAAATGGTAACGTTTCGGATAGGTTGCACCCTATAATTTGAACTGTGGGAGTGTAAGGAATCATACGTTAAAAGGTAAGACCTCGTTTGTCCTTAGCTCAAACAAGGTTCGACATCTGAGAGTTTTCGTTTGTAAGGATGTAATAGCAATTTTTTTTATATACATTTTGACATGTAGATTACAAATTCGAAAGAAAAAATTGGTTACAGCCCTTGAAAGAAACAAAAAATGCAATTTTTCGGCCTTTTTGAACAATACAAACTATAGAAAAACAAACCACATCACCTTCACATCCTATTTCAACTTCTTTGACACTTTTCAGTTCAATAATCAACATTTTTCCTATAAAAACTTTATCAATATACAGGGTGTAACTGAATAA